GATGATGAGGAAAACGCATCAAAACAACTAACAAAGATTACCCCACCCCCTTCTGGGTGGTGGGTGTGAGACGAACAACAGTGCACATGGTCTCGGACGGCGAACGCCGCCGCGTCCAACTGGCCATGGGGCTGATCCGACCGTGGGACGTGCTCCTCCTGGACGAAATCACCGTGGACCTCGACCTGCTCAGCCGCAGCAACTTCCTCGGCTGGCTGCGCGGGGAGACGGACCGCCGCGGCGCCACCGTCGTCTACGCGACGCACATCCTCGACAACCTGGTCGGCTGGCCCACGCACCTCGTGCACATGCACCTGGGGCGGGTGAAGGAGTGGGGCCCCATGGACCGGTTCGACGACGAGGTCGACGATTCGACGGCGAAAAGTGGCAACAGCAAGCTCGGCGAGTTGGTCCTCAAGTGGTTAAAGGACGATTTGGCCGAGAGGGGTCCGCGAGGGCATGGAGTAGTGGGAGGAGGAGGAGGAGGAGGAGGAGGAAGTCAGGCAAAGACATACGAGAGTTTCGAGGGCAAGGCTGGGTATGGGCTTGAGAAGACGCCGGAGCTTTGAGTTGATCGTGACGATGGGGAGGTACTTTTATGTTTGTCCTGTTCGTTCTACACGAGGAACTCTGAACGGCGATACCCGTGTGGAAGACTGGGGGGAGAAGGGGGGCCGAGTCTGATCTTCAACAAGATCAACTCATTTCATTTGAGCATTGAGCACTGAGCATTGGGCATTGAGCGAGCGCATCTACGCATCTACAAACCGCATTTTCGCTAGGCGCTGGAAAGAGGAGAGACGGAAGAGGAAAGACGGAAAGAGGGAAGAGGGAAGAATTTGGTCTTAACACCATGTATGTCTATATCTATATCTACATCTATCTGCAGAGAAGGGAAAAGTGAAATGTGAAAAAGCCCGACTCGAGTAGAGTTGGTGGCACCGCCAGGCTGGGTCTTTGGATTCGTCATTTCTATCCCTGTCTCTATCTCTTATACAGACCCGACGCGCGGTCACGAGGATGGAAAGGAGGAGGTACGAGTCATCTAACCCTCCAGAGTCTAGGCACCCATCGGATCATTCCTTGGTCACCCTCCGTCCTATCTAGGTACGCCAGGCCAGACCAACTCAGATCAGGTCAAGCAAGATCCAGGAATGTGCGATTCCGACATCTCCATTGTCCATTCGACCGCGTGGCTCTGTAATGTCCGTCACATATGTGCCTGGATGGCAGCGCGGCACAAGATAGAGGCACAGCAGCGAAGACAAGCCGGGAATCTCGTTTTCCGGTCCCTTAGTTCTCGCTTGCGTAATATGCGGGTGTGGGAGACAATCCTCGAGGGGTTTCGTGAGAATGGAGCAAATATAATATCAGAATAGCCACAGGCAAGACCCTTCTGGGCCAGTCGTTCTTCTCAGTCTCCTCAGTCTTTACTCGTGGTACTAGGTAGGGCTGTTTCGTTGGACATGAATACGAAACAGGAGAAGGTCGGGTGGAGAAAACGAGTCCTTGGACGAAGCGTACGGCTGAGAAGCATCATCGAGTCTCGTGCGTCTGCTCTTTGGTTCGTGTCAAGCGTCTTTCACCTGCGATGGACCCGCGTATCTAGTCGTCAATGGCTTCATCCGGGCCCTCGTATGTACGGGCTGAAAGTAGTGAAGCTGCTCCCTCAATGCGGGTGATCACACTGTGTCCGCCATGCCAGGTCAACAGAACACCCCCTATTCCTGCGGGCAAGCATGCTCCACGTCGACGTGTTGCTCCATGGAGCACAGTGTGCACAAGCGAAGCGGCGCACAGCTGATCACAAAACAATGAAACATGCAAGGCATCTTCTGGATGGTGAATAATAGCTCATCTGCCCATGCCCACGACGTCTATGCTCAGAATGCGTACTGAGCCATCAGCCGAAGCCACGGCTAACAATTGGTGACCCTGACCATCACCGTCGAGTAGTCCTCTAGGCTGCCACGCCAGCCGGTTCACCGTCTTCGAAGGACAGAGGTGTCTGGGAACCTCGACCGTGTGCAACACCCCCAGGTCGCCGTCCACGTCGATACTATGTAGTGAAATGGTGCCGTCATCTTCGGCCACCGCGAGGACTCCGCGCGGACCGTCAGCACAGACGGCAGATGTGGCAGCAATAGCGGTGACGGGGCCTTTTCGCGCGATCGAGGAGCGCATTGAAAAGTTTGTCTCGTCCTCCTGGTCGGCAGCTCTCGACCACACCTTGACGAGTTTGTCGCGGCCGGCGGTGGCAAAACTTGGGGTTTTAGTGCTACCCACAAGCCAGGTGGCGTCCAGAATCATCCGTGAATGTGCTTTGGCGTTGATGGCGACGCGGGTCCAGCTCTTGGAGGTCCCGTCCGCCCGCTTGAATACGGCCCATTGTCGATCCCGTCCCACACTCAGCAGATACTCTGAGTTCGGTGGTGAGAAGGCAAGTCTCGTGACGGTGAGCGAGTGCGCCGACAGAGGCGGTTTGATCTCGTTCCAGTCCTGTGTGTCGTAGAGGCGGATCACCGCGTGGTCGAGGGAGCTCGCTCTGCACGCTGTGGCGAGAACACTGCCGTCTGGGGGTGTCGCTGCCTCGGTGATTTCTGAGCCGTGGCCATACAGTTTCTCGTGCTCGGGCCACAGGGTGTGCCGCGCCAGCAGGTCTTCCGTGGGTGGTTCTTGAATATCGAGCAGGGAAGACCCTGCCCCGTTCGACGTGGTGTTTGGATCAGTCGTCTCGTTCTCAGCGCCATCGCCCGTCTCCTCGCTGTCGTCCATGGCCTTGTTGGACAGACCCAGCACCGGGATCGCTGCAGTGTCTGGCATTTGGCCTACTTCGGGAGGCAATGGGATCTGACACAGTCGATGGAGCATGTTTGCGATATCTTTTGGTTCGTTAAACACGCGCAACAGCTTTTCATCCGCGCCCGAAGAGAACTGACACGGGGTCGTGCTCGCGATGCAGTTCAGGTCGTATCCGTGAATCTGAGGCCGCGAGAACTCGTGCCAGCTCCGTTTCCCCCCCCTCTTCCACTCGGCATGCAACCTGGTGGTCTGATCGGAACTGGTGGAGAGCAGATAGGTTCCGTCGGGGGACCAGCAGATCCCGTTGACGGAGTTGGTGTGTCCACCGATGCCGAACCTTTGCGTCCAAAACTGTGAAGCCTCGTCGCACTGCCACAGTCGCCAGCTGCCTGTGCGGCCAAGACAAGTGACAGTCTTGCCATCTGGTCCCCAAAGTCCTGTCCAGAAGCCGCCAGCAGAGCCAGTCGCGGTAGTGGCGCCCTGTGCTACACTGATCTCTCCCAGACGAGACATGCTGACCCATATCCCCGACGACGGGTCTGGCTCCCATATCGAAAGAGATCCGTCGGCCGATGCGGTCAGGAGTTGGGTACCGGTAGGACTCCACGCGGCTGAGTAGATCCAATCTTCGTGGCCCAGAAGTAATGCCTCGAACGTGATAGAGTATTGGTGCTCTCCGGCACACACGGTCTGGATCTTTGCCGACAAGGTCCTGTTTGCGACCGCGACCCCGTTCTGCCCGGCGAGTGGTTTCGTCGCGCTGCTTCCTCCTAGCTGAAAGCGCCAAAGACGGACATATTTGTCCTGGCTTGCAGAAGCCAGCAGGATATCGCCATCGGGAGTCTGCGTCAGGGCCAGAGATCGTACCCATGCTTCGTGTCCGGTGAGAGTGGCATGGAGATGGAACTTTGGGGCAGATATCAGACCCTCGATGGCGTACACTTGGATATCATTCCGAGTGCCTCCCACGACCAAGTAGGCGTGGTCAGGAGGAGACGTGGATGGAAAAGTACGGACTGTGAGAGCCAAGGGGATGAATCTCGGTTTGAGGGACAGCGTGGCCGAGGCTTTGATTTCGGTGTCCCGAACTTTCCAGAGCTTTACTGTTGTGTCGGCCCCTCCGGTCGCCAGGATGCTGCCCTGGTCCAAAGAGGCGATGGTGTTGACGGCGCCTTCATGCGCTGCCGTCTTCACCAGACACCTCCACTTCCGGTCACTGGCCTCTTGTCTCCACACGGCGATATCTCCATTTGCACCGCCAGAGACCAACAGTTCAGGCGAGCCGTCTTGGTCGGGAGCCAGAAATCTCACCGCCGTCACCTTCCCCGTGTGCCCAGAGAGCAGGGCGGCCATGCCGTGGCCCGAGTCATTCTGCGGCGACCACACACCTACATTCTGGTCGGCTCCGAAGGCGAGGATGCCTGAGCGGGGGGACCAGTCGGCAGCTGCGCTGTGTCTGTTCCCGCCGGCGCTGAGGTACTCGTCTTGAATGAGAGGATGAGACATTACACCCAGAGAAATAAAAGTGGAGGGAGTGAGTGAGCGGGAAAATTTGATGGGACTGACGAGGACAGAAGTTTAGCCCTGCGAGCCGAGCTGAGACATAGAGTGACGTCCTCTGTGCGCCTCGTGCGCTCCCGTCAATCTAATTGATATTTCTTTGTAATTGTAGTGGACTAGATCTGTCAACACCAGGCGATATGTAACGAACACAAAGTAAAATTTCTGTTTCTTGCTAGTGGCTGCGGCCGCCAAGCTTCTAGCGCAGCGCCATACGACGGTGTCACGGGTGTCTTTTGTATTGAACTGCGCTATAATTGTTCTAAGCCTTTTAGCTTAACCTTATTCCTGGTATGCCAGCCCGATACCAATCTCTATATAAAATACACATAGTGCCTCGGTATACAACACATACAGAGGGATGTCACCCTGTCATAGACGAGCAACAAGACTGTCCTATTCTGTAGAAATGTCCTCACCAGTCACGAATAAGTTCTCCCCATTCGGCGACCTTGAGAAACTCAACCACATATGGATATTCAATTCCTTGTCAATCCATTGAAAAGATGAGCGAGAAACTCCTGGCCATTTTGGTCCCACCTTGCGCCTCGAAAAGATACCCGGACAGGTGTTCGATGTTGAGAACCGCAATTCGCAATGCCAGCCAACTCCGACACAGAGAAATGACGGAACTCCGCTCAGTATTCGTTCAAGGGCACCGCAAATCCATCGTCGTTTCCAGCCGACAGCACTATCCCTGGATGCCAGACGTTCATGACCACCAAGGCAAATACCATCGGTATGCCGTCAAAGACATACTCGCACCACTCGTGGTTGTTGATGTACGTGTTCAAGCTGCTGCCTTCACCGGAAGAGAACTCGACGATTCGGTAGACGATGCGGTACTGTGCAGGAAATCTCAGTCTCCAAACCAGACAAATTTTTCCAGAGAGCATTTGACAAATACATACGGTGATCAAGAGCAAGGAGATCTGCACGGCGTGGACTCGCATTTTGGCTTCCTTGGACGTCTGGCCGCGAGGTATGACCCAGTCAAGCTTCCGCGTCAGTCGCACGGTCAGGGCAAAGAAGAAGACGATCAGTGCTTCTTGAAACACCACCCCAAACGTCACAATGTGAATCCCCGTCTTGGCCGAGTTTGGCGTCTTGCTCAGGGTCAAAAGGCCGCCACCGATCTGGATTATGAATGATCTGCATTGCAACGTCAACGAGGGGCGCTCGGTCTCGCAACCAGGAAGCTGCAGACATTATATCACAACAGACAAAGATCTTTCCCATGATGTTGCCCCCCAGCCCAAAGACCTTGGTCTTGGGCAGAAAACACCGGACCAGCCGCGAGATGATCATGTAGTCAAAGGCGTTGACAAAGATTGGGGCCAGAAGATTCAGGAGGAAAGACGCATCATACGCTCCTTTTTGGGTAGGATGCTTGGCCGACAGGAACCGGAAGGCAAAGGCTGCCGTCTCCATGAAGGCACCGATGACGACGACAAGACAAAAGAGTTGTCGGTGGCGCACGGCCTGGTATATGTGGACGACGGTGGTGCCCAGGAAGAGGATCGCGAGGATCAATGCTGCAGCGACGGAGGGGCAATATGGCCACAGGTTCGAAGGGTCATTGAGGGCTAAAGAAGCGTCCGTTTTTCAGCCAAATTTGCATCATGGACGAGAGACGGGTCGATCACCACTTACGGAGACATTTCGACGATGGCATTGTACAAGGACAACGGGTGCTTCGAGAGTCAGGGAGGTGGGAAGGTGTAGTCGGTCGGTAGATCGGCAAAGAGACAAGCTTTTCGTTCCACGTCTGCTATCCAGAATCAAAGAGGAGCTCCATGGTTCTCGGCGTCGACAGATCTCTTTAAGAGGAGAGGGATTACCCTTCTGCCTGTCCTGAGACACAATTCCATCCGTAAACTGGGCCATCTGAAGGAACGACACCACCGCCGAACTACTCCCCCCCCAAACAGCCAGCGATTCGACGACAAGCCACTGATAGCAGCTGAACCAAACCCGTGTGCCCCGTCAGGAACTATGCCTTACACCGCATCAAGTCCCGTCGTGCAAGCCCAGGTCCCAAGTCACCGCACGCGCGCTTGTAGGAGGCTGTGCAAAATGGGGAAATAAAAAGAGGAGAATAGCGCCCGTTCAGGTATTCCTTTCGAAATCAGTCTCTCTCGAGCGTTTTATGCTCGCCAGTGCAAAGGGAAACGGGACAAGGCGATTGGGCCGGTAAATGGAAGGGGAGCAGCATCGTCGACGTCGAGTAAGCAAACAATTCATTATTCGCGACGCATTCCCGCTTTGGGTCGTTGCCGCCAGCTAATAAGTGACAAGGCCTGGCCGCTTTTTATGCCGAACATGGCTCATTCCGCGATGGGAGGGCTGGGAGGGGTCCAGGTCGGTAGGATCAGGGGTAGCGGCTATGATGGGTGGCTCCGTTTTCGGTCGGCTAGTACTGTGGCAGTGCATCTCTCAATGCTATGTAACAGAGGTTCGGTATTGGGGCTTGTCTTGCAAATATGTCTGCTTCTGCCTTCCCACCGGAATAGTCCAGAACTCCCCTAAAGTGCCGAACTTGGTCGCAACGAGATTGTTTCCTCGGCGACATTTGAATGAGTTGCCTTGTTGGTGATCCAGAGGCCGCCAGCTCCCTCCGAGCTCCCTCCAAAATGCCAATGCTTCAGGTCAGCCGTCTTGACTTGTACGGCGCGTGGTCGGTGAGATTCCCTCACAGCCTGTGCCATCCACCCAAAATTTCCGGTCGGAGTATTCTCTTGGATCCACCTTGCGTCCTCGACATTCATGCGACCGCTCAGGACTTTCAACCTGATGACCATTCCGAGCCAAAATAAGAGCAGGAAAGCTAAGAGAAGGAGTGTAAGGCCGGAGAGCATGAGAAGTTCCCATAGGATGTGCGTGCGCTGCGTCAGGCACCCTTGTGTTTCTGAGGAGTGCGCGGTGTTGAGGAGGTAGTTGTCGCCCCCTGCAACCATGGTCATTGAGTTGAGAGTCTGTTCCAGGATACCTCCAGTGTTGTTGGATGCAGGTGTGCCCGTGCCCTCGTATACCGAGCCTTGGAACATTTCGGCCCAGTTCTTGAGAGTGTCATGTGAATGTATCATTTCCTGGATCGGTTGTAGGTAACCGTAGGTATCATCTAGAGTGCATTGGTAACTTTGCATGTGCTTCGTCACGTTACCATATGGAGTGATATCGACTGAGAACCGTACGTCGAAGACTGTGCCAACATTCTCTCCAACAGACGTATCAAGCACCACTAAGTGGGATGTGTTTCCGATCGAGGCGGAGACGGCATACGGTGTGTCGTACAGGAGATCATGTTGCTGTAGACTGGTCACTATGTCGTTGACTGATACGTCCCAGGGATAATCCAGCTCAAGCGAATTCCTGTCGCAGTGCCATCCGCCAAGCAAGTCATCGGCATCAGCACTGAAATTGACATCTCGATTTGCCTTTTTGTAGACTCCCTTCAGGCCGTCGTTGAGCAGGCTCGTCGTTTGCGCTTGGGATACGACCGTATACGGCGCACCATTCCATGGCACCAGTTCAATGAGGGCACTCGAGACCACTAGGCCGGTACCGAACTGACAACGGTCGTGGACAGGCACTGACTTGATAAGAGCTGAAGTAAAATCCGAGCTCAGGTTCAGGAGGTAAGCAAAGATCATCAACAAGCTCAGCCATCCGCCTGGCAGTGTCTTGACCACACGCAAAGCATACAAAGAGTCGAAGCTTCCAAGCCAAGAAGTCATGTACGGCAGTGGAACCGTCCGCCGCTGGAGAAGTCTGACTTTCGCCCGGGCGGCCAGACATTTGGTCCCCAGAAGGTTAATGAGGATAAATGCAACAACGAAGAAGATACGAAAGAATAGTCGAACATCAGAGCTAGAATAATTGAGAAGTATCCTCGCCATGTCGACCGAAAGCCTCGGATTGTTTGGATAGGAAGAGGAGCCTGATGGAAAACAGTCGGCTGCGAAGAAGGCAAGTGCATCGTATTTCTAGGTGGCCGGCATGATTCCATGGAGGCACTGCCGACATGACCCTGTTAGGGCTGCATAAAACTGGCCAGTATTGTCGTGGAAATTCCAGAGTCCGTCAAAAGTCCCTCCGGTGTCTGGACCGAATGTGGCTTGCTGAGTCTTTGTTCTGGGCTGTTTTTAGCGAGAAAATCGACCGATTCGGCGACGTAGCCTTGTGTTCGGCAAGGTTAATTGGTGTGTAGCAACCTACCATTAGTACCAATCTGGCCACGGCTTGCAGGCGAACCAATCTAGTCGGCCACGCCGTCTGTCTCTGTGAGTACGGTTTTTCATGGGTGTCAAGGGGTTGCGCGAATCTGCACCCGAGGTGTTTCTGGCCCTTTGCGATAGTCTGCCCTCGCGTGGAACAAAAGTGCCGAGTTCGAGTATAAATCTTGGAACCGTCTCGCTGTGTCGCGCGTGTCTCAGCCTGATCTTGGATGTGACCAAACTCTCGCCCTGGCTTCTCTTGCAAATCTAACCATGGCTTTTGCTCTCATGTCGAGCGCTGTTTTGAGCAGCCTTGCAGGTGTTGTGGTCGCCCATGTGAATGTCTTCCATGCCCGACAAGACGTGCAGACCACATCAGACCTTTCGTATTCGGCGTTGTATTCGTCCTGCACGAACTATGCGGCCACATGCCCCCCTATCGTGAGCTGTGAGTGCATCATGTCACTCCTTTGAAAAGACACTCCTCGGGGACTAACTGCCAGATAGCCTGCGTCGGCAACTTCTGCGCCTCCTGTGCTTCCCTGGGAGGTAGCGCGTTCATCTCGTGTTGCGATCAAACCACGGCGGCTGATTGCTTCTCGTCGCTGTTGCTTGCTACCACGACGACCACCGACGATACCACTTCTTCAAGAGCCGGGACCGGGTCAATCACAGGCACAGCATCCATGCCCGTCGACTCGTACTCGGCCAGTTGTTTGCAGGTCTTTTCCTTAATTGAGTCATGTGCTGCGGCGACTTCTGGCTTCACTTCCTTGGATGATGGTGATCAAGCCAGTTGCCTCTGTTACTCCGGCTCAGCCTATAACCCAGGCCCATTCGACCAGCTCCAGAGCGCATGCATTACCTACGCGTCCACTGCGGACCCAAGTGGTCTTTCCGTATATCAGGCGGCGGCGGGGCTCTGTACTCGGGTCGGGAATGTGAGGAGCGCAACAGCAACCATCAGCATCACAGAGCCGCCAGCCCCAGCCCCTACCACGTCTATCCCTGTGGCTACTCACACGCTGTCTTCACTTACCTCAAGTACTGCAACAACCTCAATCCCCGTGGCAAGCGGGGCTTCTTCCAGACAAAATGTGAGTACTTCTTCCGAGGGATATGCATCTTCTAACCAAAGGTTCAGGTTCCTGCGGGTTGGCTCCTGCTCCAACTATTTTGGTTGTTCTGAATCTCTTCCAAGCGTACAGCTGTTGGAGCCTACTCGAATGAACAGCTCGGTGCCTGAGGCTGGATGAAATTGGCTTATGCTCCATTGACAGTGCAGCGGATGGAATGAGAGAATGAACGGTACATCATATGGTGGTTATCTCGCGGTGTTTGACAGCAGACGAAGGAAGAGACCTTGTTCCCAATGACCAGGAAATCAGTTTACATGCCCACGTATGCCTTGACGTTTGAAAAAGCCATAAGCGAGTACGGGTGCCGAGAAGTACCAAGTAATTAAAATGAGACGCTTCGAGTCTAAAATCGGATCCCAAACCTGACGACGCCAATTGCCTGCCACGTGATGAGAAACGTCCCGAACGTCAAAAGAGGGACTAGCTTGCCAATCCCCGGAAAATCTATATTCCGCCAAATGGCCCGGGGGATTCGGAAAATCCAAGTCGCTGCGCTGTTCTTCAGTTACCCCGTATCCATTATCCAGAGTCCAGGATATCCTCATTCGCAGCCCTTCTAACAAGCATCGCATCTGTACATCTTGTCGTCACAGAATGTCCGAAACCATCGATATCACGGTCGAGTTCACGTGGGTCGAGCTTCCCACCCCCTGTTTGATCGCCCACTGATGGAACCCAAGTGGTGGCCTAGAGATGCTCTTTGACAATGTGTCAAAACACTCCTTGTCGCTTGCCAAAGACGCTGATGACGGGGAACCCCCTACTGTCGGATACCTGGTCAAGTACCTTTGCAGTAATCTGATGAAAGACTCGAGAAAAGAGCTGTTTGTCCTCGACGGCAATGTGTATGTGAGAGTCCCGTCGATACTGGAACCGCAGCGCTGATACGGCCCACTGGAAGTCGACCAGGGATTCTCGTTTTAATCAACGACTCTGATTGGGAACTCGAGGGCGAGGACAAATACGAACTCGCCAACAAAGATACTATACTCTTCGTTTCTACTCTCCACGGTGGCTGACCAGTGGACCCGATCACCATACAACAGCCCACACTGTTGACCTTATGTCATGTCGCATAGATGATACCTTACGTCGAACACATGGCCGCACAACTCTCGCAACTTCGGCTCCAAATAGTCTCGCGGCAGTCCCCACCACATCACACCACATCGTGCATCCTCACCGAGAGGTTCTCAGAGTCTTCTGGTGTCTTGTACCCAGAGGCTGGTTCTGGCGTACTTCTCCCAGTCCTCGGACTAGCGAGGCCACTGCCCAGGCCTGGGATCGGGGTGGCGAATCCGCTGGGTGGCGCGGGCGCCTTGATGCCTTCCGGCGAGGCAGGAATGATCTCGGGTGGAAGGTTCGGAATTTTTATCCGCTTTGCTTCATTGTTGTAACTGGCGGGGATAATCTGAAACGGTTGTCAGTGTTGGTCTCAGAGATTCTAGTGTTCAGAAATCACCTCGATTATCTCGTCTCGTGGGAACGATAGGAAGGGTATGTCTGGAGCATTACATGCCATCAGATACCCGTAAAGCACGCGGAGGACGCTTTCGTGTGCAATGATGAGAAGGTCGTTCTGCTCCCTTTCCAATTCAAGAATGATGGGCTCCAGCCGAACTGCAACATCGTGGTAAGACTGTTATTGTCAGCGCAACCCAATGCATCCAGACCAAATCGTCCCTCACCTCTGCTCTAGGGAATCTGTGATGGTACGGGTCCAGATCGTGCTTCACCACCTCTTCCGGATATTCCTGGCGAATCCTACGCTCCGATTTCTTTTCGCACACGCCAGGATTAAGCTGGCTCATTTGGGACCTTTGCCTCACTTTGAACCCCTTGTCTTGTAGGTATGCTGCAGTTTCCACGGTCCTGCGTCTCGTAGAAGTCCAAACGATGAGTGGTTTCAGCGGCGTGTCAATCCCCCCCTTCTCGATCAAGGCCCGTCTCTCCTCTTCTCGATGCTTGAGCAACGTCTCACTCATTTTCTTGGCGTAATCCTTACCCTGGGGTGAAAGCCGCGCATCAGCTTTGAAGGATTCTTCTTCCAAGGTGGTGCCCGCACGAGCAAAATAGGTATGTCGAGATTTGATGTGGAGGTTCAACAGATAGAACACAATTCGATGTGACAAGTAACCGAAGCTCGTGTTATTGACCACTAGTCTCTCCCCCGCGTTGATCATCTTGATCCAGTCGAGGTCCGGCTCCTCCATGGTCTCAAAGTGTGGAATCTTTGCAGTTACTCGGTTCAGATAATGTTTGACTGCTTCGGCCTCGGGCCAACCTATGTAGTCGGGTGAGGAAATTTTGACACTGCGGACGTTCTCTTCGATGATGCGCTGGTCGTCGCAGCTTGACTCAATAAACAGACACTTGATATTGTGTTTCGCGAATTCTTTGGCCAGTGACCTGCGACCAGCAGACAGGGGGTTGACTGCGTCATAGATGGCGATCTGACCGTTTTCATGGTTGAGGAAGTGGTAAATATCCTCTCTGCACTTCTTGAGGATCTTCTGCCTCAGCAGTACCGACGACGCCGATGCGTTGACGAAGAAATAATCATCTGGGACATCCTTTCCTGGACCTACAATAGCTCTGCGATAGTCTCCCAGGTGAAAGATCCGGGTTTTAACACCCAGCCATCGTAAATAGCGAGCCAGTGCCACCGAGATGTGAGTCTTGCCGCGAGCCGGCAGCCCTACTGTAGTAATGGCAATCCGACCAGCATGGAACAGTCGTCCGGACTCGGTGCTGTAGAGCTGGGCGGGAGCGAGTTCGCTCTTTTCTGGGAGATCATGTATTGCGTCAACAAATGTGCTCGACTTGCGTCGGTAGCGAGGTGAATTGACCGCCGATTCGGCGGTTAACAGAGTATCCATGGTGAACAGTGAGGGCTCGCTAAAGAGTCCCAAGTGGGATGATAAGTCACAACAGCCAGGCCTGGAGTATGAAGAGTCGCGCACGGTCCTGCGGATGTCTCTGATCTCGTTTAAAATGCTCGGTCCCAGATCGGGTGTGTTCCTTGACAACCTGCCAGCTGGAAACGCGGAATGCCTTCTCGTTGTTTCTATACATCCATAGTCAGATACTAGCCAGATACTTTCATGAATGTTGATGTCCGATCTGATAGGCCGTTTCGATAAGGATGAATGAATGACTGTCCATGCAACTGCGCAACGAAAGCAAACCGGGTCGGTGATAAGGCAAGAAGAAATATGGGGGGGAGGTCCGAGGTTGTTGCCGTCCGATGATAGCTTTCTCCACATTGCCTCTCATTGGCTGAATAGATTAAAGCAGCAGCTAAGCTGAAGTCCTCGCGACGCCGCTTCTCCATTGGCTGACGATTTCACTTGGCACGGGTTGCCTGCGGTGGACTTGCCTAGTACGGAGTTACAGGGCCAATTCTTCATAGATTTCCCTGCGCCTGCAAAAGTCGAAGCTCCAACAGACACCAGATCAACGCAGTCACGAGCATCTTCTGCCCTTCAATCTTCCTCCCCCTCCCTTCTCCAATAACCCGCTCGATATTCCCGTCCTCTCTCTCCTGGTTTTCGCAAAATCAGACGGTTGCTAGTGCGTGCCGAGGTGCTGCACTTCGATCCTGAAAGATGGCGGTCGTGGTCGAGGAGAAATCATCATCGACATCTGTCTTGTCGTTCTTGACAGACAATGCCATCGCCGCAACCATTGCAGACTCTTACTCCGGTCTTTCGGCTAGGAGGAAGTTGTTAGGCCTTGAGAATCCTGGAACAGTCGACAATATCTCGCGCGAAGTCCAAAAGGATGTTCTCCTGTCTAACTTCATGTTCTCCGGCTTGCGCTGTGACTTGCAAAAGGTCTTCAGCATAAACCCTCTGTTTCGCCTACAACATGGCTTCGCCATGGGCTCCCAAGCTCTACCGCCCTGGCAACTAATGGCGTTGTATGGCAACTCTGATGTAAGTCTTCCTTTGCCATTTGGCTGATGATAATGAACCATGAACCCCGACTTACCGATTTCAATAGGTTTTCATGCAAGCTGCTTACTCGAGCGACCGGTCTTTGACGGCCTGGGGAAACCTTAGATGGTCTCCACGATTCGTCACCAAGACGCAGACTTCCATTGATCCGCGACAATCCCAGACAATGGTACAAATCGAGAACGAGTATACGGGTAGCGACTTTTCGGCGTCCGTCAAGGCCCTCAGTCCATCAATCATGGAAGGCGGTGTCACGGGTATTTTCATTGGAAGCTACCTGCAATCAATCACACCAAAGCTTGCACTGGGACTTGAGGGTGTATGGCAACGACCCGCCTTGAACAGCAAACCTGAGACTGCGTTGTCATACTGCGCAAGATACAAGAGCACCGACTGGATTGCTAGCGCACAATGGCTGAGCCAAGGCTCGTTGGGAGCTACATACTGGAGACGGTTGACCGACAAGGTCGAGGCAGGTGTTGATTGCCAACTACAATTTGCCCCTGGCTTCGGAGCGGGCATGTTTGGGGGTCCGCGACGAGAAGGAACAACAACCGTGGGCCTCAAGTATAGTTTCACTAACTCAGTCTACCGCGCGCAAGTCGACAGCACTGGCAAGTTTGGTGTGGTACTGGAGAGGCGTGTTGCACCTCCGGTAACATTGACCTTTGCCGCAGAGATCGACCAGTGGAAGGTGAGTTTGAACCAATATTCCATAAGCCAATCCCCAATTCCTTGCAAGACTCATGCTGACATTCTTTCAGAACACCCACAAGCTTGGTGTGGCTGTCTCACTGGAAGGTGCTCCAGAAGAACTGCAAGAGGTCATGGAGCGCCCAGAAAACCAGAACGCAATCCCACCGCCAATTTAGCGCCTGCGCGTGGTATAACTTCAACAACCTTCGACGATGTTTTACTACCTCTCCTCTTCACTCTCAAGCACACGTGCCCTTGACAACGCCGGAGCACAAAATGGGTCTCATACATTGGCGCAGTGAGCAGCTCACGGAGGCACATCCAAGAACTCTCCACAACCACCAGACCTTGTTCGCGGCTGGTGACTCTGCGAGGTCGTGATCCTACTCTATTGTTCAAGGGACAAAGGAGGAGTGTTCTACCTGTTCACTTTTCTCTATGTATCTGTATGTACGGGCAGAAAGACCATGACGAAGTTGGTGGGCGAGACGTGTTTGGTCTAGGATGGCCACCCTCGCTGCATGAGATTCGACCACGAAATCTATCGATACTGCATAATAGAAGAAAAAAGGGGCCCTGTATCAATAAAACCAGATGCTGGAGTTTTTGTGACTGCTTTGAAAAGTTGCCCCTGCTCCATGACCCAAGACCCGTCTGTTTGTACATTGGTAGAGGTTAATCCCTTCTATAGGCTTCGACAAGTGTGTCCATCAGCGGTTCGATGACTCTCCTTGACCGTGCATTTTTGCCTTCGACTTCTGCCGTCAGTGCTCAGCCTTACCTTGGTGCCTGTAGTTTGATGTCTGTCTCGATAACATGCTTGCCGCGGGGTTTGGAGTCCCGCAAGTTCTGATAACCCGTCGTCGCGAGAAACAGAGGAAGACTGATTCCAGGCAAAGGGAATTCGGGAGGGAAATTCTCGATTCAGCTGGTAGCCAAATGCAGCCTCTGTCCCAGGCTGGACAGCACCAGCGCTCAAAGCAGAAGATGACAGCAGCAGGCAGACGAATCAAGGAACGGAAGGGGAGGGAAGGAGATATATACAGACCGCCTTTCTCACCTCCGACAAGGCAGGACGGCTTAGCGAGACGATTGTCATCCGTGAGGCGTCTTCGACACAGCCTGATGGATGCGATACCGGGGGGTAGTAGTTTGACCCCCTGGTACCAGCACACCCTTCGGGTATTTGTGCTGGACAGGCTTGTGTCCGAGCTGTAAAATGTGAGGGCATGTTGTCTGAATAATTCGCACCAATCTAGAGTAATGCCAATATATTGACGTGAATTGTTTTGGTGTTTTGGGAAAGAAGGTGGGAAGTGGAAGCAAGGGATGGGACAGGCCCGGGTAAAGGATCCCTGTATTGG